ATCACCCCCGTCAGCAGGCGGCTGCGGCCGCCGGCGGGGACGGGTCGGCGCGCCTCGGGTTCTGCCACGGCATTGGCGCCGTATCACCGGCCCGGGATAATGGCCGTCTTTCCCCTCACTCCATTACCCTCGGCGTCGCCTATTGCAGCTCCTATATTCCGGCGCGCGGAAGTCCTGCATGGAGGGCGCTTATTACGCATCGCATTACCACTGAGGAGAGAGAGAGGCGGGACGCGCATCTGATCGCTGCGTAACGGCCGGGCTCGCACGAGCTGAGACTCGTGGAGTCCGCTGAGACTCGTGGACCTGCGGAGAGTTCACACCGCCCTCCGCCATTGGGCGGGCTCGCACCAGCTGAAACCAGCGGAAGTCCGCACCGCCCTCACACGGGCTGAGACCAGCAGGAGTCCGCACCACCCTCCCACCGGTGGGTGGGCTCGCACGAGCTGAGACCAGCAGGAGTTCGCACCGCCCTCACACCAGCGGCCGGGCTCGTACCAGCCGAGACTAGCGGGAGTCCGCACCGCCCTCCCACCAGTGGGCGGGCTCACACGAGCTGAGACTAGCGGGAGTCCGCAGCGCCCTCCCACCAACGGCTGGGCCCACACGAGCTGAGACCAGCGGGGGTCTCCCACCAACGCGACGTGCGTCAGGATGTTAGATATTCCTTACAGCGCTTCCGCCATAAATCTGAGCTGACGGAAAATGCAGCAAAGAATTACTGAAACGGAATGCTGCGCTATGCAGGACTGGGCGAGGAGCAGGGTCTGCAGAAATGCCCGTACCTCATGGTCGTATACCGGACTGGTGTTCCCAGGTGTGTCTTATATTATTTTCAGACGTTAAAGACGTCGGAGGAGTTGCGCTGGGGTCCGCCTCGGTCCGGACAGTCTCGGCACTGGACTGGGGAGCTTCCGCAGCAGCAGCCGGGGGTGTGCACGGCCTGCGGGTGGCCGTGCCGACTCAGATCGGATGAAGCCTCGGTCCGGACAGCCTCGGCACTGAGCTGCAGCGCTTCCGCAGCAGCAGCCTGGCGTGTGCACGGCCTGCGGGTGGTCGTGCCGACTCAGATCGGATGAAGCCTCGTGCTGACGTCGGACGGCGGCTGCTCTCGGATGATCGACCGCTGGCTGGCCGCCCTGCAGACCTGGCCCAACAGCCGACCGCCCACAGCATCACTGGCGGAGGTGTCTACAGCGCAACTGATCTGCACGCCAGGTCTTTGTGAACATGGGTGTGGCCTTGACATAGCCCTTACTCCACAAAAAGGGTGTGATCTCTACGTAGACAAAAAGCACATTTGGAATGTGTTTAGAGGGTTCGATATATTCCACGTGCCTTGTAGTAAATAATTCTGGCTTGCCGAAAGCGTACGTCCAGCTTCCGTAACGCCTGCGCTGCGGGTGGGCTACTCAGGGTGGTTGGTGAGCCTCCACGTTAACAACTGCAGTCCTCTACAAAGTCCAATCGTACATTTGTCTAAACAACTGTTTGTGCGAAAATTGTTAGAACACTTCAGCCCGTGGTCAAAAATATTTTCTCACATGAAAAAGAACTAAAATGTCTTTTCGCATGCTACGATACCCCTGCGCACTAGCTCGTGCGCATAACAATGATTCGCCTCAACACTTTTTTATCTAAGGAATCATTTTTTACGGTAGGCCGAAATGTGTTACCAAGTTATGTGTAAACAATTAGCTGGACAAAAATGCGACCAGAAGGTGAAGGAGCTGTTTGGAACTGCGCTCGTTGCCATGAAAGCTAAGCAAACACTCATGGAAGCGTTCGCTGATGAATAACATTTATGGAGCAAATTGAATTTCCGAAAAGTTTCGATGCTGATAACCACGGGAGGTATAGATGGCGGCGTCTTATTACAGCAAAACCGTCTAAATGCTTCGGTTGTCCGATGCAGCGCGCTCAAGACTATTTGATATAACTTTTTCCACTAATTGGTTCTTTATTGTATTGCATTCGATTCCACTCAGGCAAGCATATGTTGACCCTCCCTATACAAATTTGTGTGCCCATTCCGATCCACCCCATTACACAGTGGAAGGCCTGTCGCCTTCCTGGGTAGGACGCCCCGTGAGTAGAACGCTGGGAACGGGGCGTTAATTTTCCCGGTCAGGGCCTGAGGAACACTTCCGTTCCAGAGTAGGCTTCCACTGGCTGCCATTCTGCTGATATGAGGCCGGGCTCCTCGTTTGGTTCGGTGAAGCTCAGAGGGCTGCGTCATACATCGGTTTCCTCCCCGACGTCGGAAGTCCGCTGACCAAGGCAGTAGACGCCAAATAGATAAAAGGTGTCCCAATGACTCAAAAGAAAAGGTCCCCAATGACTCCCTTACCGGCGTAGAGTTCACAAAATTGGCACGGGGACCACAGTGCGACTTATCTGGCCCCTGACTACAAAGGAACGGAAGCCCCCTCTGGGTAATGGAACGCTTGATTGACATAGGATCCCTGTATTGTCTCAAAATGAAGCCATTTATCTTCATTTATCATCTCTCATCTCATTGTCAGTGTTTCGACCAACGCAAGAGGCGTTTTGGAATTCGGAGTTCCGTCCCTTTCCAGCAAGTGTAGCCCTCGCCCCGACCCCTGTATCGGAAAGGGTCGGGGCCCCTTGCGGACACAGGATACCCTGTCAGGCACTGCGGGCCCCTTGCCGATGCAGAGTGCCGCTCACTGTTTCAGGGGCCCGAGCAACGCAAGAAGTCTTCAGTGACAATCGCAGACCTCGGCCCTGTCCACGCTTGGGGGACAGGTCTCAGGGCATGGGTGGACACAGCGCTGACCGGTCGGTATTGGTAGTCTCTGACCCTCAAGCCCCACTGGACCTAAGTGGATGAAACACGTGCCTCCTGTGCCCCTCCCTTTCTTCCGCCTGTGCCCCTTACAACCGACACCGAGTTCTCATTGTTTCATGGAATAGTCCGCAGAATTTGCCTTGATCTGTTTACTACGCTGTCTGGTGTGGGGTCAGTGATTCCTCCGTGGGTCCAAATTCGAAGCATTTAAGTTTTTCTGCGTTTCCGTCCATGCAATTCCAGGCTCTAATAGCGATGTGAGGCTGGGCACCATGCAAGTTGTGGACTTGCACGGAACTTACCCCTCGATGCCAGGTGTGGAATGTTTTACAGAAAAGTAGGGCTTTTGCACCTCTCAAACGTACCATTCATGACCTTTCATCGTTTCCAGGCAGTCATGTTTCCTCGCTGTCACTGCGGCCAGGGAGCCGTCCTTCAATCTTGGTTCGTCAGCAGCGCCGCCGACTCGCACAGCGACTTTCGGAACGGAGCGCAGGCGGCACTGTTTGCCGGGACTCATTGTGCGGAACATCGAATGCAATATCAAGCGTCAGAGCAGGCGTGCAGAACATCAAATTGTGATGCCCAACGGGCGTAAGGTCCGTGCAGGTCAACGTAAGGTCCTCACAGGCCGGCGGGATGTCCGCACAGACCAGCGTAAGGTCCGTACGTGTCAGCGTACGGTCTGCGTAAGCGGAGATGAGCCATGCTCATCGACACCGCAACAGACACAGATAAAGGAAATACGGACAGTTTACGAACAGGTGCAGTTGGCTTCATTGATTTAAGCGAAACACAACTTCTCCCCGTTCATTTTCCAGCCTGTTCATGCATGTGCTGTTCGCAATGTTGTGCTGTCTAGGTCGGTTGATTTACAACGTCTACAGCAGGCTTGCGTCCCCTGCCGGGCCGTCCCCATATCGATTGCGCCCGACTTCGTCACAAATGGGCTGAGTGACCAACATACCACTTTTCTCCACAAATTGAGTGGCTTGCGTGGCAGAGGTATAATCATGGATAGCAAACGACCCCGCTGAAAGGACGTTAATTGGGAGCAATCATGGACAGTTGTGAACCCGGATTTCTTGTAGGTTGTAACGCGACTCCACTGCCAACTAGAATGAGCGTGTTACATACGTCGCTCCAACGCAAAATCTGCTCAGGAGATGATATTGCAAGGCAGCATAGTGGTGCACTTCCGTTGTGAAGCACCGTGCCGTCCGTAATCCGGAAGCTTTTTTTAACAATTAGCACCGTCGTAAGTGCACTTGGTCTTCTCCACGTGTCGTTAAACCCGTCATTCCCACGCGTAGCCTCCGGTCTAGCAAAGAGGACCGCTCGAACTGGGCCTGGAGTTTTGGCACAGACCACTGAGGGCAGCCCTTCCGGGCTGCCGAAGCCGGCGGCAGCGGTCTGTGCTGCCGGCGGGGACCGCTGTCGCCCCCAAACGGCCGAAAGCGTCAGCAGCACAGCAGGCTGAACCACGGCGGGGACCACCGCCCCCCCCCCCCCCCCCCTCCAAATCGCCACAGGCGTCTGTAGCATGGTAGGCTGACCAGACAGGCTGAACCACGACGGGGACCGCTGCCACCCCGTCACCGTCACAGGCGTCAGCAGCACGCCAGGCTGAACCACGACGGGACCACCGCCGCCCCCACACCGTCACAGGTGTCAGCAGCACGCCAGGCTGAACCTCGGCGGGGACCGCCGCCGCCCCCACGCCGTCACAGGCGTCAGCAGCACGCCAGGCTGAACCACGACGGGACCACCGCCGTCCCCACACCGTCACAGGCGTCAGCAGCACGCCAGGCTGAACCTCGGCGGGGACCACCGCCGCCCCCACACCGTCACAGGCGTCAGCAGCACGCCAGGCTGAACCTCGGCGGGGACCACCGCCGCCCCCACACCATCACTGGCGTCAGCAGCACGCCAGGCTGAACCTCGGCGGGGACCACCGCCGCCCCCACACCGTCACAGGCGTCAGCAGCACGCCAGGCTGAACCTCGGCGGGGACCACCGCCGCCCCGCGATTCCATCGACGTCGCAGGTGTCACACACGGGACGGACGTCGCCGCCGGCGCTGCACGCATCGGTCGGGTGACGTATTAGCGGCGGCCGGGGGGGGGGGGGGGGCGTAGCCGGCCGTTCCCGGCAGCTCGCGTGCAGTACGGGGCCAGCCGGCGTGCACGGCGTGCTGGACCTCTGTCTGACCTGACCGGACTGGGCGGGCGCCCGCGAGACGGCGACGCGCACGGCGCCGGCCACCACACGCACTCCGGTGAGAGCGACGAGCGGAGCTCGTTTCCACGGCCGCTCACTCAGATATTGCAGGCAGCTATGTAGGCGTTTCAGAGCCGCGTAGTGTTGGTAGCTCGTTAGTAAGCCTGTGTGTCGCATTAGAATTCATTACGCGCTCGCGGGATGTCGGAACGCGGGATGTCACAAAGACGGGACAGCGGGATGTCACTACTAATGGAAAATGAGCAGGAGAGCGGGATGTCATTCCTATTGTCGCATAAGCGAGAGAGTGGGATGTCACTTCTAAGGTCACATAAGCAGGAGAGCGGGATGCCAGTCCTTTTGTCGCATAAGCGAGAGAGCAGGATGTCACTCCTTAAGTCACATAAGCAGGAGAGCGGGATGCCAGTCCTTTTGTCGCATAAGCGAGAGAGCAGGATGTCACTCCTTAAGTCACATAAGCAGGAGAGCGGGATGCCAGTCTTATTGTCGCATAAGCGAGAGAGTGGGATGTCACTCCTAAAGTCACATAAGCAGGAGAGCGAGATATCAATCTTGATTTTACACAGCGGGACAGCGGGATATACCTCCTAATGTCGCATAAACAAGAGAGCGAGATATCAATCCTGATGTCACATGAGTGGGAGAGCGGGACGTCATTCCGAATGTCGCATAAGCGGGCGAGCGGGATATAACTCTTAATACCAGTGGGATATAACTCTTAATATCGCATGAGCGGGAGAGCGGGATATAACTCCTAATGTTGCATAAGCAGGAGGGCGGGATGTCAGTCCGGATGTCACATAAGGGGGAGAGCGGGATATAACTCCTAAGGACACGTAACCGGAGAGCGGGATGTCACTCTTAATATCACGTAATGCCTGGCATTTGGAAGCCTTTCAAAACCAATCGCTTTATATCTACGAATCTTTGTTTTCAATTTGGCCACTGCGGGAGTCGGATACACCAGTAATATATCAGCACTGTGCTGCAGCTCACTCTCCCTGTGTCCCCGTGACTCTAGCGCAGTGGCAATAGACCACAAGTGTTCACTTTTATCCCTCGCGCCGCAGTAACGTCAACGTTAGCTGTTCGTTAGAACCAACATTGACATTGTGCATTTCTGTGGATATTTTTGTGGTCTTTGAGTAGGCTTTTGAGTCTCAAAAACATGCCAATGATTTAGTACTCAATATTGAATGAGCTGAAATATTCAACGAGCTGTTATAATCTCCGATCCCGAGTGCCCACATACAATGCGGGCCTGCCAAACTATGGAAGCATATTTTTGTGTTACATTTTAAGTAAATTGAATAGAATAATTGCACATGAAATCGAAGCGGGAAAAATTATGATACTTCGAGTCAAACATTAAAGATCCATGGCCGCAACTGATCACCAGAAGTACACCATCAACACTGACGTTCAACGCAACAGGGAAACATGGTGTAAGCAATGGATATTGGGGCATCCTGTTGATCGTGCCTTCGCTCCAGCTCGATTACCTGTCTACCTCAGTGAATAATGTGCATCAATTCCTTCAGCAGCTGCTTTTACCAATCCATCACCTGTTCAAGAAGCCGCCATCCGCTTTAGAGGTTAATTGGGCTGTTGGCGAAAGCCAAACCTTTGTTTGGGTGCACAAAATGGTTTCATCAATCGATGGTCGAAGGAATGCTTCCAACTGAATATTGACGACAGGCCGAGCACACGCCCACTTAAGTCGCAGTTCGCTCTGTTTGAGACCTTACCAGGCGCAGAAGGTGCTCGAGCGAAAGCCCACTTAAGTCACAGTTCGCCCTGTTTGAGACCTCGCCAGGCGCAGGAAGTGTCCGAGCGGACGCCCACTTAAGTCGCAGTTCGCTCTGTTTGAGACCTTGCCAGGCGCAGGAAGTGTCCGAGCGGACGCCCTCTTAAGTCACAGTTCGCCCTGTTTGAGACCTTACCAGGCGCAGGAAGTGTCCAGCGGACGCCCTCTTAAGTCACAGTTCGCCCTGTTTGAGACCTTACCAGGCGCAGGAAGTGTCCGAGCGGACGCCCTCTTAAGTCACAGTTCGCTCTGTTTGAGACCTTACCAGGCGCAGGAAGTGTCCGAGCGGACGCCCTCTTAAGTCGCAGTTCGCCCTGTTTGAGACCTTACCAGGCGCAGGAAGTTGCCGAACGGACGCCCTCTAAGTCACGGCCGGCTCTCTATCAGGCGCACAAGGAGCCCGGGCTGACGCACGTTGAAGTCACAGCCGGCTCCGTTTGAGACTCTGTCAGGTGCAGAAGGTACCTGAGCGAACGCCCACTGAAATGACGGCTGGCTCTGTTTGAGACTCCACCAGCCACAGAAGACCTCCGTAACATAAAGTGCCTGAGCACGCTGAAGTCACAGCCGGCTCTGTCTGAGACTCTATCAGGTGTAGAAGGTGTATGAGCGAACGCCCACTGCAGTGACGGCTGGCTCTGTTTGAAACTCCACCAGGCGCAGGTGCCCGAGCGTACGCGTGCTGATGTCGCAGCTAGCTCTGTTGGACACTCCCAGGCGCAAACTTGCCCTCTGTCATGTGCGGAAACTCAACTCCGAGAAGTGTCAATTTACGTGATCCTGCTGATCTCGTGCGAATTGACCCGCTCAGTGAGTTCATAGGCCTGTCTTCAGCCTCCAACATATGGATACTGTGCGCCCCGATTATCGGGCCGGTGCAGCGTGATTACGCTGGCGCGACGGGCCGCCACCCTGCGAGGCACGCACGCCCGCCAGCGCCCGAGCCGACTTGGCTGCTTCTCTCGTCCCGATGCCCCAGCTCCTGGTGACGCTGGTGGGAAGCAAAGCGCAGCATTCACTCGTTCGTAGCGACAGCTTCTGTTCACCGGGGCAGCTGTCGCACACGCGCAGAAGCCGCGCCGCCCGTCCACCGTTCGGCTCCCGTGATATGCGTGTTCCGCGTGGTCGATGGCCGTGTTGAGGTACAGGCTCTCGGCGGCCATGTTGAGATACGGACGCTCCGTGGCCGTGTTGAGCTACAGACGCTCGTTGGCCGTCTTGAGCCACAGACGCTCCGTGGCCGTGTTGAGCCCACTCGCTTGGGACGTTTGATGATACAGCAATGGTGAGCGATGCGTGCTGCTGCACGCGTCACAACAACATACGTCCTTTCCTGCACGCGCACATCCCGGTTAGCCCTGATCGTATCTCCACCTCACTCTTTTTCTACAATTCTCAGCATCCCTTCATTTTTCCTCTTCTTTCACCGGCCTCTGCACACACACACACACACTCAAAATCATATGCATGCACGTTGTCAATTAGGCTCACTACACAGACTGCTGCAATGATAACCGATGCAAGAACGGATTGCTATACCACTGCCTGTTTGCATGACGACCGCGACATTCCGCCCCTCCTCTCGCCGGCACATCGGGCGATCACGGTATGCCGTTAGCTTATCATTATGGTGGCCAGACAATGTCGGCCTGTGCCCACCGGATGTCGTCGTATGTCTGAAAATGGTAGTGGGTGTTTGGTATATTTGGTGTTGGTAAGCCATGGTATGATGTAGCACTGAAATAATAGAAGATACCAAACATAAAATATGACAATGGTGAGTTCCGCCGTTTCTATTCGCTGTTGACGAAGGCCTTCAAACGCAAGTTTCGTTTGGCTCTGCCCTCTCGTTTTGGTCACCATATCAGCAAGGTGTTTTTATTTAACCTGGTCGCCGATGCAATGACAGAGGCAATGCGTTTTAGCCCTATAACTGATGATGATGAGGAGCCAAAAGCGAAGTTCTCATTACCAGAGCATCTCAACTTGCACACTTAGACGTACTTTCCTTCAGAAACGCAAAGTATGCTATTTATGTTTTTACCAGAAGGAAACCCAGTCGCTCAATGGATTACAGTTGTTTATGCGTCTACCTAGAGACGATTACATAAATCAGTGGCTGAAGGCATAGACTACCACACGGTGGCGCACGACTCAAGCGTCGATTGACATTCCGGGCACCCTCCCACTCGTTCAGCGCTCTTTTATACCCTGGCCGAGTTCCCACCTGCCAAACGCCGTCCCCATGTCACAACCTATGACGTCGTAGATCAGTGCGTCACGGCAGTTCCTCTGGTTTGAAGTACAGTCTCTTGTGTATGACGTGGGCACTTGCGACGTCATAGGTAGCAACTTAGGGAGGTACTTTGTCAATGGGGAACGCGGCCTTAGGATTCAGAACGTCCTGGTATTGAATATAAACAGGAGAGGTTAGAAGGTGAATGTCCCCCACACTTCTCTCGAAAAATGGATCTTTGTGCCCTCAGTTTTCCCACGACAATGGACGTCTACGTATTTTCATTAAAAAATCACTGCCTTCAGATCCGGTGGCCCAAGTCCAGTTGGCCCCCTTCATGCTGACATGTCCCGCCACCTCAGAAGACACTACCTCAAACGGGCACTGCTCTATCTGAGTCTAGGACTCCACTTAACTAGCTCTTGAGGTGCCCACTGCCTGAGCTTGAGGACTTAGGTGCCCGTTTCCTGGTTTATTGGAGCCCTGCATCCACTTTTTCGAGTCTTCTTTTCAGCTTGACCCGGACCGTAGTCTAGACTTAAAAGCATCTCACTCTCTTGAGTTTAACAGCGATCTGTACTTGGCTTTGGGTGCTCCTATCTACCTGAGTGCTAAGTCTAAGTTTCGGTGCCCGTCGACTTGTTTTGTTTACCCCGTCCCTCTACCTGGGTTTGGGGCGCATCTTAGATGCGCCTGGATTACCTCTCCGTGTAAATTCAAGATAACTGGGCACATCTCTAGTAATGCTTAGAGTGTTCCTCCACCTACATCATTGGGCGCCTTCTTGCCTGGTTTCAGAGTGTTCTGTGATAGGGCTTTGGGAGCACCCGCCAGTCTTCCAGCTAGGGCCTTGGGACCATCAGTCATTGACATCGCTGCACTAACTCGAATCGCCCTGCTCGGTGTTTGCAGACTGCGGCTTCAGCCTGGATGGCAACGCTGTAGAATGGGCTGCAACGCCAGCAAAGACGGCGTCATCACAGCGCCGGCCGGCGTCGGCAAGCACAGCAATGGTCTCGATGGCAACATCAATCAGCGGATGGAAGGTGAGTCGGTCTCCAGCCGGGGAATCCCGGTCCCAGCCGAGGAATCCCGGTCCTCAGCCGGGGGCTCCTTTCACCTCAGATGCTACGGTCCTCAGCAGAGGCTCGCCCCCCCCCCCCCCCATCCCCAGTCGGGTAGTCGGGTACCCACAGTGGTTTACGTCCCCCCCCCCCATACGCTACGATCTCTAACCCCGACTCCCAGTATGGTACCCATAGCCTCCAGGGGCGGGCCTCCGAGCCCAATTTTCACAGTCCTCAGGCGGACCACGCTGGTAGGTTCACGACATGCAAGGAGCTTAGGGATACCTCCCGTAGTAACAAGTGATCGGATTTATCAACGACGTCAAATGGATAGAATTGTGTGCATGACAAGGTACCTTTTCAACAGGCCCCGCATCATACGTATCGCAAGGTTGGTGGGTTCACGCACTAAAACAGATCACGAGGCAATGCAAATTCCGCCTTCGAACTAGAAGCAAATTCCGTGCTAACTGTCGGGGTTTTATCAGCTTGAGAGCCGCAAACCGTTGCAATTTGACAAAGCCGGCATTTAGCGTCGGTATTTGACGATTAAGCAAAGCCTCCAACGTTTGGGGTCAAGGCCGGATTACCTATCAGGTGACAAATTTATGGTCGCCAATTGCCGGGCATGCCAACTGCCAAGCTCACATGGAATGCAGGGGGTGATGCGGACCGAAGGTGGTGTTGTCCTAATTCACCATTGACGCGACGAGGAAAGTCTCATGAGGAGTGATCAGGATGCGGGTGTCACATGTGCAACGTGCATGGACACGTTTGTACACCTGCATGTGCGTATGGAACATTTGTTAGTACCCAACCGTCTAGCAAAGTGGCTGGAAGTGTCACATAAATACTCGCGGAACATGTTGGAAAAATTGCTTGCGTCCTGGTTTCAACTTTGTTGATACTTTGTTTCACGCATGCTTACCACGCACACATTTTTGAAACGATTGAATGATTTCGAAACTTTGTAGGAATGATGAAAACATGTAGGGTTTTGAAGAGTTTTAACACACCTGCGACTGTCTCTACTCACTCAAAAAGTTGCGTCCAGCATTCAATGTCTAGCTAAATCATTAAATACTCAACATTTGTGCAGGACTTTTCCGGTCTCTTTTTAGCAGGCCTGATGAAAGCGAATATTAACTTCCTATCTGGATATAAGCAAGGCAAAAATCACTGACATACGAAAACCATGTTTTCAGTTTCCATGTAAACTATACCCAGAGCTATGCCTTCCACTTTAGCCCGGAATCAAGCGGGAAGTGATTTTGGTGCTGTGTGGGCAGGTTCACTCTGTTCTAGTTCGTTGGCGGATGTTGACATTGCCGGTCTGGCTGCCAAATGTCTGTTATTACGGAGGCGCGCCGCGAGGCGTTCCTTCTCCACGTGGATAAATGTACGTCACGAGGAGGTGCGCTGCGAGGCGTTCCATCTCCACGTGGTTAGATACACGTCACGAGGAGGCGCACGGCGAGGCGTTCCATCTCCACGTGGTTAGATACACGTCACGAGGAGGCGCACGGCGAGGCGTTCCATCTCCACGTGGTTAGATACACGTCACGAGGAGGCGCGCGGCGAGGCGTTCCATCTCCACGTGGTTAGATACACGTCACGAGGAGGCGCGCGGCGAGGCGTTCCATCTCCACGTGGTTAGATACACGTCACGAGGAGGCGCGCGGCGAGGCGTTCCATCTCCACGTGGTTAGATACACGTCACGAGGAGGCGCGCGGCGAGGCGTGCCATCTCCACGTGGTTAGATACACGTCACGAGGAGGCGCGCGGCGGGGCGTTCCATCTCCACGTGGTTAGATACACGTCACGAGGAGGCGCGCGGCGAGGCGTTCCATCTCCACGTGGTTAGATACACGTCACGAGGAGGCGCGCGGCGAGGCGTTCCATCTCCACGTGGTTAGATACACGTCACGAGGAGGCGCGCGGCGAGGCGTTCCATCTCCACGTGGTTAGATACACGTCACGAGGAGGCGCGCGGCGGGGCGTTCCATCTCCACGTGGTTAGATACACGTCACGAGGAGGTGCGCTGCGAGGCGTTCCATCTCCACGTGGTTAGATACACGTCACGAGGAGGCGCGCGACGAGGCGCTCCATCTCCACGTGGTTAGATACACGTCACGAGGAGGCGCGCGGCGAGGCGCTCCAGCTCCACGTGGTTAGATACACGTCACGAGGAGGCGCGCGGCGAGGCGCTCCAGCTCCACGTGGTTAGATACACGTCACGAGGAGGCGCGCGGCGAGGCGCTCCATCTCCACGTGGTTAGATACACGTCACGAGGAGGCGCGCGGCGAGGCGTTCCATCTCCACGTGGTTAGATACACGTCACGAGGAGGCGCGCTGCGAGGCGTTCCATCTCCACGTGGTTAGATACACGTCACGAGGAGGCGCGCGGCGAGGCGTTCCATCTCCACGTGGTTAGATACACGTCACGAGGAGGCGCGCGGCGAGGCGTTCCATCTCCACGTGGTTAGATACACGTCACGAGGAGGCGCGCTGCGAGGGCGTTCCATCTCCACGTGGTTAGATACACGTCACGAGGAGGCGCGCGGCGAGGCGTTCCATCTCCACGTGGTTAGATACACGTCACGAGGAGGCGCGCTGCGAGGCGTTCCATCTCCACGTGGTTAGATACACGTCACGAGGAGGCGCGCGGCGAGGCGTTCCATCCCCACGTGGTTAGATACACGTCACGAGGAGGTGCGCTGCGAGGCGTTCCATCTCCACGTGGTTAGATACACGTCACGAGGAGGTGCGCTGCGAGGCGTTCCATCCCCACGTGGTTAGATACACGTCACGAGGAGGTGCGCTGCGAGGCGTTCCATCTCCACGTGGTTAGATACACGTCACGAGGAGGCGCGCGGCGAGGCGTTCCATCTCCACGTGGTTAGATACACGTCACGAGGAGTCGCGCTGCGAGGCGTTCCATCTCCACGTGGTTAAATACGCGTCACGAGTGCCATCAGCGCGGACACAGAGTAGGCAAGGTAAGTGTCTTTTGAAGCTGCGGATGATGACAGGCTGACTCTTACAATGCAATGATGATGATGCAGTGTAATATTTATTGATGGCTGAACGTCCGATTCCTGATTGTAGCGTTTAGTGTGCCGCGCCCATCCCTGACGACTCTAATATGTTGGAAATGGTTTTGTAAAGAAATGAAATGAGCTGAAAATGCAGAACACTGTTCAAGCCACCCTAGTTCCTTTCCTCCTATTTCCAAAACAAATCAAATGAGATTGTCATGAACTGAGCACATTCAGATGTCCCGCTTATTAGCACAAATGAATGTCCGGTGTTCAGGGCTACGCACTTTTTTGCTTATTGTGTTCTCAGTAATAGCTATTTTATCCGAACCGAATCGTGACAAAACATGTCGTCGGTCATGACGAAAGCGTCTGGTATAAATGACACGGCAAAATGACATGAACAGTCCGAAGCAGCTCTCTAGACAAGGTTCTGATCCGCGCCACCCCTAGTTCGGGGTCTGGTGGTGTCGTTCGGGGTTCTCTGCCATTGGCGTCGTCCCATTGATAATGGGTTTCGGAGCCCATCGGCGTCGTCACAACTCTAGTGCCTATCGCTGCCGCCTGAGCCGTCGCCCCGGCCGCTGCACACCTCTGGACGAGGCGACGTCGGGGAGTCACGGAGCGGGGCGTGGGGTCACGGAGCGGAGAGTGGGGTCACGCGACCTTCCGGGGGGAACTGCCCCGCCAGAGCCGCCCGACGCCGGCCAGCTGCCTCCTCACCACCGCCGCACCCTCTGACGTCGCGTGGCTGGCCCTTGGCTTTCCATAATGCACCGACAGTCATCAACCATGCATGGGAATGCCAGGACAAACGTGGCCAATCAGATGAGGCATAACACGCTCTTTACCTGCGCCCGTTTCTTGGCAACGTGCCTGGCATGTCATGCTATTATAAGTACTGAGCTTGCTTGTCGCCAATCTGGCAGCACCAGACAGGTAATGATTCGCTGGATGTTCACATCAGCGTGTAAGATACGCAGAACAATGCAAACGATCCACTCAGCTGTGGAAACACATACAAGTTGGTGTTACGTGACTACCAGATGTATTTCATGTTTGAATTATATAAGTATATACCAATTACGTATTTCCATCGTCCAATATTGCATTGTTTTCCAGATCGTTATTTAGCATCACAGCGTCGTTGAACAGCACCTCCCGGCATATTGAAGATCATTCACTGAACATACGCACTTTGAATTCATAATGCCCAAAAACCAGAGCTGAGGGTCTTTCCTTATCGTTTCAAGCTGCTAGCTTAAACAATTAAAGGATAAAACAAATATTTCCTTTTTTCTTTGAAGTCGTTTGGCTCAGCAGGATGTAGCGCACTGGCCATGTATTCTACCGCATTTAAGGGCACCGCGAAATGATCCTGATCTCTAACCACCTGTGTTCATATCTAGACGCACCCAAACATTTCGCAAGCTCGCCAGTACAGCTAAAGTCGCTCCGATCATCGCTGAAAGTCATGCTTCTCAGTTAGATAACAACCCGCACAGCAGTTTGACACCTAATCTGGCGCTGCAGCCGTAAACATTTCGGGCCTTGGCAACTGGCGTCTAACACTAGCTGAAACGGTATTTTTTTGGAGGGGTGCTTTTGGGCCTTAATGTGAACGTGTTTAGGTGGGTGTTTATGCTTTACAACGAGCGCATGTTACTGCTATCTAAAATGTTCAGCAACAGACGAGGAAGTTACACTGTCCATACGGACAGCGTCCTCACTTGTCTTAAAATGATGGCAATGCATTTAATGATGCCTTGAAGAAAATGTTGGACTCAGAAAGTAACATAAGACACTTGTTAAACCGACTGTATAATGCCGGCACATTAAAATACCCTGTCACACATCGGATTTACAAACGCTTGCGTACATTTGCTACTGCTACCCTTTTTGCAAAACGGCGCCGGATGCAGTGTGCAGAAGAAAACA